GGAGCTGGTAAGTTCTTCCCTTATTGAAGTTAACTCTGTCACCAGCCATTGACCTGGGAAGCATTGCTCCAAGTACAGATAATTTGGCATGAAACTATGCACTGGAAAAATGATCTTGTAGTTCAGAAACATGGACTAAATTTTGAAACACAGGTTCAATCATGAGGTTTTAGGACAATACTCTTTTCCCCATTCTCCTTCCTTCTCTCTTCCTCCTGTTCTCTTTCTTCCACCCTTCCTTCCTGTATCTTTTGCTACTACTGTGCCTAACTGGGGGACTTTTAGGGGATGAAAAGAAAAAGAAGGTCAGATTTGGAAAAATTGTGAATTTTCTAACATGCTTTCATAACCATACTTTTTATTGGCAGACCAGTCACAGGTCCCCGTGCATCTCCGCCACTGTGGATAATTGTCCTTGTTGTGCTTGGAGGGTTGGCAATTCTTGGAATTACTATTGGTCTCCTGGTTCATTTTCTGGCAGTAGGTTGGTATATATGTATATATGTATTTATTTTATTTTGTCATAATCTTTATTTCCACTTCCATGAAGGATAAAGAAGCAATTGCAAATAATGTATCATATCCTGTTACAATAACATCAGTGATCATGGGGCCCAGGAATAAATATTATTAACATTTGTCTGATACTCAATTTCAGATATCTTTTGAATATATACAGGTTGAGATGGGCATCCATTCAGATACATAATTAAAAAAAATATATATAGCTGACAGAAAAGGTACTTTACAAAGATAAAGGTGGTCCTATACATATAATTTTATAATAAGATATCACACTTATTCTATTTGAAACAGACAAACCCAGGAATATTAATTATTTCTTCATAACAAAGACATTAATATAACTTTTTTCCTATACACATTTTTTTTTTTTGGGTAGAACTGGGGATTGAACTCAGCCCCTTGCTCTTGCCAGGCAAGTGCTTATACTACTGAGCCATCTCCTCGGCCCTTAAAAAATTTTTAAAAGCCCAAAGAAACTTGGAATCAGTTTACTTACTTTCTATTGTAAAATTTACAAATCAGCAGAATTGTACTTCTCGTATTTTCCACTAATTTGTTAGCAATACATTTTAATTTTTGAAAAATACTTTATTTATTTCATTGATACAGGGTCTCACTACACAGTTCAGACTCATAGTGACCCTCCTTTTAGGGCCCTCAAGGTGCACAGGGGGTTCCGGGGCTGGCGCAGCACGTGGTACCTGGGATAGCACTCAGGTCTTTGCGCTTGCCAGGCAGGCACTTAGACAACTGAGATGTCTCCCCTGCCTAAGAAACACACTCTAGAGAGTCAATGTCTTAATAACTCATTCTAGTTTACAATAAAAATTATGATCATTTTTAAAATTTTGATATGTATTTACATGAGGTATATGCTTACCATCAATATTTTTTCCTTATCTTTAACATACCTGAGTGTTGTTTATTTTTTCCTCTAAAGCTTATATTTGTAGTCTAAAGTGTCAATTTTTAATGAGCAATTTGACCACTTTTCCACAGCCTGTATCTTTCATTGTCAGAAACAAACACTTTTAGCTCTTTCAGGTCATTCTAACATTGCTATGTCCCCATTTATTACTATTTATTTGCATTATCTGCTCACTTTCTACTGTGGGAAATGGGAATTTTATATTCATTTATACCCTGGCCACAGAGTGGTCATCTTAGGATTTCTCTTCAGCAACACTGTGGAAATCACCATCAGCCCTCTCCTAGTGATTAGTTTTCCCACTTCCTTTTTATTATTTTATTTATTCAGTTGGAGTGTGTGTGTGTGTGTGTGTGTATGTGTGTGTGTGTGTGTGTGTGTGTGTGTGTGTGTGTGTGTATTCCAGTATTTAGAAATGATTATGATGGGAAGTATGCATTTTGACAACTCACCTATCTGAAGTGATATCAATACTAAGTTTAATCTTAATTACTTACTATCAGTGATGTCGTATTGATTTCTAGTTGAAAAAATTTCCCTCTGAATTTTGACACTGATGTTCTATTGCCTCTTTATTTTTAAAGTTTCCGTTGAGCAAGTTGGTGACATTACAGTTTGGGAATTCTAAGTGATACATTGCCCTCTCCCTCACATTTTGAATTTTTTTTATATTTTGAATTTTATTAGGTTTATGTTCATTGTGCACATTATTTTGAAATTTCATGCTAATGTGGCATAGTCTAGAGATTTGTTTTGTTCACTGTGATGGCATTTGCTTCTGTATTTCAATTTGAAAATTTATATGTTACATTAGTTGCTAGAGATTTTCTTACATTATTCCTTTGATAATTTTTTTGTCTTGTACATTCTTTATAAACTTATAGGGTTGATATGGGCCCTCTTAAATAGGTCTCTAATTTCTTCACATTTCCCTTTCTATTTTACATCCTTTAGACTCTTTTAAAAAATGATATCACTTTCTTAAGCTTATTTTCCAAATATTTTATTGAATTTTCTATTTGTACTATTCATTTTTCATCCCAAAATCTTTTTCAAATTTATTTTAAAAAGAATAAAGAAAAGACATTAGAAATGATACACAACTTAAAAAAAGATGATAGGTATTCCACAATAGTTGGTATATTGCACATTGTTGCCCTCAGTATAATTGCTCAGATTTCCAAAACCTTTTTAATAATATTCTTTATATAGCGTCTTGATTTTATTTTATTTTTTTTTATGTATTTAGTACAAGGTCTATAGGGTCTCACTCCACAGATGACTCATAATGAGCCTCCTGTTTTCAATCTCCCAAGCGATGGGATTACAGGCGTGCACCACCACGTTCGGTGTCAATCACTGTCTCAGCATGCCCCTGGGGCAAAGCCAGTACTGCATGCAGGGGATGGAACCCTGGCTGCTGTGCTCTGTTGATTTTATTTCTTAAGAAAATTTCTCCAATTAGAATAGTGGTTGCAAATGTCTACTTGAGTAGTCCCCTCCTGCCAAGATTTTCTTTGTCTATCTAGTCATTTTTCATAATAAATGCTCAAATATTTTGATCTTTTGGTGTTTTCAAACATTTAATACTTGAGATTAAAGAGAGAGCTTGAAGAAGAGTGTGTGTGTTTGTGTGGCTTTTACCATAACTGCTCTACCTAGGGTGTTTCACTGAGAGAATCCAAATTACCAGTATATTTAGGTCTTTGTATTGAATTGGTCAGAATTTCCAAAGCAGAAAACTTCTCATCTATTTTTGTGTGTATAGAAGTCACTTCTAGCTTTCTATAGACAACTTGAGAGGAGCCCAATATAGAAATTTTGCATACAGTGCACCCAACTTTAACTGTGTTTCAGTCTCCTTGAATTAAAATGATAAAAGTTCAGGAAGACACTGATCTAGGTGTCTCAATCAATTATTTCAAATTTTTGCTTCCTACTTGAATTGCCTGATGCCATTTGGAACTCTTTGTATTAAAACAGCTCTTCCTATTGCTATCTTGAGGTTGAGGCTCCTTGTCTTTTACCTGTTTCCAGGTTCCATACAACTGTTGTCACTTCTTCCCTTGCTACTGTCTTTGTGGGTTGACTTTGAAGCCAACACCTAAGCACTTTTCCTGTCATTTTTAAGGGAATTTTGGAAAAATCACCATTAGCTATAGTATTAATTGAATCTTCAATCTTT